AAGAAGCTTGTGCGGGTGTGTCCGGGAGCAGTTTTCACTGCCCCCGACCCCCACCACTGAGTCCATCCCTGCCCAGCTCTCCTACTGTTTCTGTGGCAGGCAGCAGGTGGAATCGGCTCTCAATACAGTCCATGGGATTAAAGAGCTCTCCCAGAAGCGGGAAGCAGAGCTCCCAGCACAGTGCAGGTGGATGGGGGGTTCTTTGTGGCTCCCTGGATCACATGTTGTTCCTTGGCCTCAATTCCCAGCTGGGCCATGCCGGGAGTAGTCAAAGAGATGGACAGTATCCCAGCCCCACTGTCCTGATAACAGCAAGAGGGACCTGGGGCTATCAGCCCTCCAGTGCTTGCTCTGTTTCAGCCCCCTTCTTGCTGGGACTTTACTGGAAGACAAAAGAGACGGGGCTGGCTGGGACCCCGTTGTGACAGGGCAGCTTCTGGATCAGCCCTGCTTCCCCCGCTGTAAGGAGGAGCTCACGAGGCTACCGCCTGCAGGATTCATCTGTCAGGAGAGAAAAAAAAAGGGGGAACTGAGTAGGGAAGCAGAGGTAGCAACTGGAGAACCAAAAGGGGAAGGGAAGCCAGGAGTCCACACTCCCAGGCTCCAGGGCTTGAAATCACTAGGCCCCTCCTTCCCTCCCATGCTGGAGAGAGGTCGCAGGTATCCCACCTCCCAGCCCCCACAAACACATCTCTAACCCTCCCTCACCCCACTGTGTGCCCCAAGGTGAGGAGAGAGCCCAGGTGTCCTGCCTTGCAGCTCCCCAGTACTCTGATCCACTAGGTACTTGACCACAGCAGCAAGGCGCACTGGGAAACTGGAAGTGAGCGAGGGGGCTGGGAGCACAGCTGCAGCTACACGGGTTGCAGGGGAGGAACAATTTGTCAGACGCATGGAAACTGGAATAGGCTGGATGGATGCCTTTGTTCCAGGGCATGAGCTGCACCCCGCCATTCCCCGCGACAGCCAGCAGATGGAGCCTTCAGGCCTGCAGCTGGGTGAGCAATAGCCTTGTCCAGGGGTGGGCAGCACAGCAGAGAGATGCTAAGATTTTCCAGGTGGTCCTTCAGGGCTGACTACACCCTGTTCCCGTGGCACAGTGCCCCTTATGGCATGGGATCAGCCCTGCCTGCCAGAAACAGCATCCCCCACCCCAACCTCCGGCAGCACAGGAGACTCACCCACAATGAGGGGCTTGGTCCCGAGCACCCCTGGGATGCCCCGATGAAGAAGCAGAAGCTCCTCCTCTTCCTCATCGTCCTCCCCATGGGGGTTGGCCGAGGGTGGGAGGTCCAACTCCTCAGGGGGTCCAAACTCCTCCAGCAAGGACCCCTCCGATGGGTACTGGAAAGTGCGCTCCAGCTGGCTCTCGCTGAATGAAATCTTCAGCTGAATGGGAAAGGCAGGGAGGATCAGACCAGCAAGCCCATCTAGTCTGACATCTCAGCCCCTCTCCACCCCCTGCCTGGATTGCCATCTAGCCTGGAGTCCTGCCTCTTAGCACACTGGATAGATGCTTGTCTCCCCTGTCCCCCATCAAGCAAGACCCTGTAATTACCAATTGCTGTGTCCTGTCTTACACCCTGCAGTAACATGCCAATGGGGTGTACGCATGGCATGAAGAGCCCCTGCAACAACAAGTCTGGGCTTGGGCTCCACCACTCTCGAGGGGCCCTACAATAACACCTGTGTACTGAGGCCTGGAGACCCTTCAGGAGCAAACGATACAGGCTGAGAAATCCACCCCTCCCCAACAAACCACAGGACCCAGCCCCAGAGCTGGGACCCACTCCACCAACAACACACCCACAGTCCCACAATAACGCCCACGTGCTGAGCTTCCCTGCTGCCAAGAGCTCCTCCAGCAGTAGCCGTTTCATACTCAAGGCTCCACTTGTTCGATTCAAATTCCCCCTCATTAAATTCAAGGCACCCTTTGGAAGGTGCCAGCTCTTTGTTTTTACTCTTTTTTGACTACAGAAAAATAATAGAACGATTCTTCTGTTGCAAAGAACTCAGACAGACCACCAAAGGTCAGAATGCTTTTAACACTATGGCTTCCTATCTGAAATCTCTGGGTTTATCTTGTGTAGTATGTTTGCACCTTAGCAGTGCTAACATTGTGTGGCACCCCATGGCACCCTTGAAATGGTGTAAAGGTACCCCAGGGGGGCTGCAACATCCTGGTTGAGACTCGCTGTCCTACAACAACAAAGCAGTAACATTAGACCCTCCAGTAACAGAGCAGTCAATTAAACCCCTTGCTGCTTACAGGAGACCCTAGCATAACAAACCCTTTGGGACCCTTCATGGCTCTCTCCCCTCTGCCATGGGGTCTGGTGGGTGTCCCTGCCAAGAGGGTGCCCCTGCCCCCACCCCAGCCGGGCACAGAGCAGCAGGAGACACAGCAGGAGATAAACCCTGCAGGAAATGAGATTAGTTGTCCTGTCCTGCCTGCAGAGAAAAACGATTTCACCAAGGGCAACAGCCTCCTCTTCACCTTGAGGTGCAGCCAGGCTAGGCCACAAATAGCGATAGGGGAAGGAGGGGCCCTAATGCAGCACTTGGATATGCCCACGCCACGTCTGGGGTAGAGCAGGTGGAGTCATAGCCGCACAGGGATCACACCCCTGGTGCTGAGATGCAACCGCCTCTGAGGTGGGACGGCTGGGTCATAGCCACACAGCTGCTGGGGGCAAGAAGGGAAAGTGTCAGGACTCTGCCTGATCATGGCTATGGGGCGCAGGATTTTGGATAGTAGTATGGAGCCGAGTTCTGGCCAGATGTGTGAACAGTCAGGGCTTCAGTGGTACATATCAGCCGTGGATGGCACAGTCCTTCTGGTAGACATGCTAGGGACCCTGCCAGAGCTCTCTGTGGCCCAGTGCCCCTGACTGCTGACCTGGGGTGCTAGGGTGAGCACTGTCTGCAAAAAGTCAGCGTCCCCTGACCCTGCCTGTCTGCAGTGGTCTTCCAGCTCAGCACAGCCCCAGTGCCCTGCTGCTCTGCCTGCCTCAGGGCTTAGCCCAGGTGCTGCCCACCACCCCCACCCACTGCCAGCCCAAAATATAGGGTGACATGGGGGTGGTCTTTGATCTGCCTCTGAAGATCTGCTGCCCAAGTGGTTCCCATGGGAATTAATCCCTCCCTGCTCTCTGCTAATCACAATTAACTGAAGGTTATTAACAAGCTGGGGGAAGGGCAGGGGCTGGGGAAGGTGGGAGAGGGGTCACATGGCAGGGAGGAATTTGTCTTGGGGTTCAGGGAGCTTTGTGGTGGTTGTCCATCTTGGGAGAGTGATGGGGGAAAGCCTGAAAGGGAGTGGGGGATGGTGGGGCCACGCTGCCAGACAGCCACCAGTATGGAGAATGAGGGGATGTGACAGCAGAGATGAAAGAGTGCATGCATGACAGAGGACAGGCCCTAGGGAAGCACAGGGAGGAAGGGAGTGTGAAAGCTGGGGAGTGCAAAACAGCGAGCCCATGGAGCGGTGGAGTACAGAGAGCATGTGTGGCAGAAAAGAAAAGCATAGTTTGTAGGGTCGGAAGGGACCTGAGCAGATCATCTAGTCCAACCCCCTGTCATGGCAGGAAAGAGTACTGGGGTCAAATGACCCTGGCAAGGTGTTTATCCAGCCTCCTCTTCACCTTGGAGCCAGCACCACTTCTCTTGGAAGTTGGTTCCAGATCCTAGCCGCCCTGACAGTGAAGTAGCGCTTCCTGATGTCTAGTCTGAATCTACCCTCTGCCAGCTTGTGACCGTTATTTCTTGTCACTCCTGGGAGCGCTCGGGGGAACAGGGACTCCCCCAATGCCTGCTGGTCCCCTCTGACTAGTTTGTAAGTGGCCACTAGATCCCCCTCAGCCTTCTCTTGTGGAGGCTGAACAGGTTCAGGTCCCGTAGCCTCTCCTCGTAGGGCCTGCCCTCTTGGACCTGCTTGAGATGCATCTGTGGATGCATAACAAGGTACGGTTGGTCTTCCTGACTGTGTCCCAACACTGTCGGCCCATGTTCATTTTGGCATCAATAATGACTCCAAGATCCTTTTCTGACTCTGCACTGATGAGAAGGGAGTTCCCCAGCCTGTAGGTATGCTGCTGGTTCTTCCTCCCCAGGTGCAGCACCTTGCACTTGTCAGTGTTGAAACCCATCCTGTTCTCATCCGCCCACCCCTGTAACCTGTCTAGGTCCAATTGCAGCCTATTCCTCCCTTCTAGCATGCCCACATCACCCACATCCTAGTGTCGTCTGCGAATCTGAACAGGGTGCTTTTTACCCCCTCGTCCAAGTCACTAATGAAGATGTTGAACAGTGCAGGTCCGAGGACCAAGCCCTGGGGATCCCACTGCCCACAATCACTCTCTGGGTGTGGCCCTCCAGCCAGTTAGTGACCCATCTGACTGTGTAGGTGTTGACGCCACAGTCCCCTAGTTATTTAATGAGAATGGGGTGAGAGACAGTGTTGAAGGCCTTTCTAAAGTCCAGAAAGATTATGTCCACTGCTACACCTGCATCCAAGGATTTTGTGACCTGGTCATAGAAGGCCACCAGGTTGGTCTGACAGGACCTGCCTCTAATGAACCCGTGTTGGTTGCCCCTAGGCATAACCTCCCCTGCCGGCCCCTCGTGGACATGCGCCAGGATAATTTTCTCAAAAAGCTTACCCAGGATCGAGGTAAGACTGACTGGCCTATAGTTTCCTGGGTCCTCCTTCCTCCCTTTTTTGAAAATGGGAACCACATTGGTCCTTTTCCAGTCCTCTGGCACCACACCAGAGCACCATGAGTGCTCGTAAAGCTGTGCCAGGGGTCCCGCCATGACCTCTGTTCATTCCCTCAGCACCCTGGGGTGGAGATTGTCAGGCCCAGCTGATTTAAATACGTCCAGTCCCTCCAGAAGTTCCCTGACTAGGTTCTCACTGACCCTAGTCCTGGGCGCGCCTCCCCTGGTGCCTATGGGGATCCCGGTGTGGGGTGCGACGTGGTCCCTGCTCAGAAAAATGGAGGCAAAGAAATTGTTAAATAGGTTAGCTTTGTCACATGGGGGAGTCTGAGAAGCAAGAAGTGAAAGGAGGATAGGAGCGAGACAGGTGCAGGGGGGGAAGTCACTGACAGAACAACAGAATGAGGAAATGTGGGAGAAAATGGGGTGTGAAACAGCGAGAAGAAGAGGTGTGAAAGTGGAAGAGGGCCCGAGAAAGACGAGAGTGGAAACCTCAGGGAGGAGGAATAAAGGAGAGAGGGCTAACAAGACTGAAAGAGCAGGGTAAGAGTGAAAACGAACAGGAGGAGAGGAAGGTGAGGCAGTGCAGGGGAGCTGAAAGAACAGCAGGAGAAAGTCTAAAAAGAAGAGGAAGAGGCCTCCGGGGACAAAAGCCATGGGGGAAGAGGAAAAGATGGGGAAGGAGGAGTGGGACAGCTGGAAGCAGAAGCATAATGCGGGGAAAGGCAGAGTGAAGAGAATATGGAAAAAACCCAAGCAAGTCCAAGTGGAGGAGTGGACGGGATTAAGAGCAAGAGAATGTGTGCGGGAGGGAGGGCAGGAGAGAGTGGGTGATGGAAAGAAAGAAGGAAAAGCAGTGAGAGGAGGGGCAAGAGGCTGAGACAAAGGAAGAATGAATGGTCTCGCCATACTCTCTGTCTCTTTTCCCCTACACCCCTCTCTTCCCTGACCCCCCTCTTCTTCCCTGGGCTTCTCGTGCTGCTGCCCCTCCTCTCCCCCAGCTGCTGCCCCCCCTCCGGGCCCAGCTCTGGAATGTGCCTGAGTCACTGGCTCTGCCCTGCTGCCGGCTCCTAAATAAGGAAAGAGCAGGCCTGGCTCAGGGGGAGGGGAGGCTGGGATCCAGCTGCTGTTCCACGACACACAGCTGTAGCCCTGCTCCGTCCTGGCTCCTCCAGATAGGCTACCCACCACCTGTCAAGGCCAGAGCCCGGGGTGGGGGGACAGACTTGGCACTGACCTCCAATCTGAACTGTGACCAGCCCGACAGGCGGCAGAGCCCCACTCCCCAGCCCTCTGCGCAGGGAACAGCTGGGAACCTCCTGACCGTGATGTACCAGACATGGTTGCAAATCTCTCAGCTCCTGCCACTGTCTGGAGGCAGCCACTAATCTCCAAACCCAGTTCCAATTTTTACCCAGGCCTGCAGCCATCCAGTCCCCCTGCCACGCTCCAGAGCCTGGGCCTGTGCGGTGCCTAGCACCATCTCCGCACCACTTGTCAGGATGCCTCATTCCCCCACCCAGCACAGTCTCCCTGCTGCTGTCCTCCTGGCCCTTTTTCCGTGCCTTAGAGCTTGGGGTGGAGTGTGGGGAGCTCAGAGAGGACTGATGTACTGATATCAGCTGGACTCCTGCTGGCCTCGTGCCAGCCATCTGCAAACCAGCTCC